CCACATCGACTTCAAGGTTATGATGATAACATTCAAAGCCCTAAACGGTTTAGGACCTAGGTACCTATCAGAACGCCTGCTCCCAGCCAGATCTGTCCGTAATACCCGTTCTTCGCAGGCAGGGTGGTTGAGGGCCTTTACCCCAAAGGAGACCCAGAGGGAAAAAACAAGAAAACAGGCCTTCTCAGTAGTTGCCCCTGCCTGTGGAATAACCTGCCCATTGTGATCCACCTGGCAGTCTCACTGGAAAGGTTCAAATGAGCACTGAAGACTTGGATTTTCTGCCAGGCTTTCCCTGAGCATTAGGTTTTTGAGATCTTAGCCTCCCTTTTACCATCCTTTTCATCATTCTTTTTACCACCTCCATTGCCATCTGTTTTAATTTATCCTGCTGGTTATCATATTTGATGTATGTATGTATGTATGTATGTATGTATGTATGGATGGATGGATGGATGGATGGATGGATGGATGGATGGATGGATGGATGGATGGATGGATGATGATGATGATTATTATTATTATTATTATTATTATTATTATTATTATTATTANNNGTTTTGATATTGTGCTTTTTATCTTGTTGTTAGCAACCCAGGGTGGCCTGGTTGTTAGATGGTGTGGGGTATAAATCCAATAAATAAATAAATTAACAAAGTGTAATCATAATCATAGTGTGCTGTCAAGTCAGTTCTGACTTAAGGTGACTTCTTGCAGCGTTTTATAAGTAGAAAGTACTCAGAAGTGGCTTACCATTCCCATCTTCTGAGGGGCACCTGGGACTGTGCAACTTGCCGAATGCCACACAAGCTGGCTGTGCTCACAGGAGGCACAGTGGGGAATTGAACTCCTAACATCTGGCTCCGCAGCTAGATACCTAAACTACTGACTTATTTAGCCAGATCATAACAAAGTTTAGATATCATGAATCAACCTCTCAAAGAGTGCTTATTCTCACTTTTCATTTTGTATTCTTCTGTTTAAAGTTGTCAAGACTTCAGTTCTTGAGCTAACAGTAACAATTTTTTATATGCTTTCCTCGGTGTTTTTTGTTGTTTTGGATAGCTGCCACTTCCTATGGATATAGAAACAAGATACCTTAATCAATCTAAGTGTTTATATTTTTTGTTGATTTGTCCTTAATAATGCAGTTCACTTATTTATTAATGTGTGCTAGTCTGAGTAGATGTGGGGCCTCTTTGAAGGAAAGTGTTTTAAAGATTATGTGCTTTAAAAGTATTTCTCCTCATAGCTTGTCCAAGGCCACTATAAGTTAATGGCTGAAATTAAAGAGAAAAACTATAACCCTCTAGGTTCATATTCCTTACCGTTATGCGACATTGCCCCTTCGCTGTACCTATGACTTGTGTACAATCCACTGGAGATAGAACACTATTGGCAAGAATGGAGAGAGTGTGAAATGGGAGAGGCAGACTTGATGCTTTGAGAAGTGGTTGGAACATGCTTTTTAACTTTTTACTTTTTTTACAAAATATTTGCATTTGAGAAATAAATATCGTGATGCTTAACAAAGCAGAACTTTCTCTTCCTCTCTTTTGCAATAGCTAGTTGATATATTTTTAATTTCGTTAAATTTCTGCTTTAGTTCACTGTTCTCCAAATTGATTCCAAGGCCCACGGGTAATAATAATACTATTAGAATCATAGTAGTCTCTAGCAGTGTACCTAGTTTTCTGGTGATGTACTGAGCCATTTCTTACCTTGTAGGCATATAACACCAGAGAAGTTTTATGTGGAAGCTTGTGATGATGGAGCAAATGATGTTCTTACTATTGACAGAGTCTCCACAGAGGTCACTCTTACAGGTATCTCTTCTCCACTACATCGAAAAAAATTCTAGTGCATCCTTAGGTAATTTTGTTCTAGTGCAGCCTTAGATAATTTTGCTTTAAATTATCAAAGGATAAAATTAGAAGTTAGTAAAACTTCACATATTTAAACAGCATCACTGTTACAATCTACTCGTTATCCTCATTTATGACGGTCTGCTTTGCCCAAATACTTATAAACAATAATGTTCTGCTCTCTGGGATGATTGAAAACATATTATTTTGGGAATAATAAGCTACAGTATTAATTATGCACATGATAATATTTAATTGTATGAATGAATATATTACATTTTATCTCTGGTGCTATATGACTGTTTATGTTGTTTTTCTGTTGCAGTTAAGAAAGATATTCCACCTTCAGCAGTTACCAGGCAAATATATGGTATTCTGGGAACAATCCGTCTAGTGGCAGGTACAAAAATTTCTGGAAAAATGGAGGGCTATGAGTACACTGGCAATTGTTACTTTAGATGGAAGGGGGTAGGGAACAGTAGAAAAGAAAAGAAACATGTGTGAACCTATAGTGCAATCGTACGTAGGCTGAATTTGGATTTAGCACATACTTGTGATAACAGATTAATCTTGTTGCTTCCGGGGTGGATGAAAATCAGTGATTTCTTTTTAAAATATTAATAAAATCACAGCTTCAGTGACAGTTCAAATCACAATTTAAATTAGAAACTCACATTTTATTTAAATTGTCAAAAATTGATTTTTAAAATTTAACTTGTGATTTGATTTAAATCAAATCCACCCTGATTGCTTCAGTAACAAGATGTGAAAGAGAACTTTAATTTCAGTCAATGGTAATGATGTAACTTTAATACAGCTTCTTGGCAGTCCTATAACAGCCAGACTCCACATTCAGGGTGATCTTGTGATACAGATTTTCTGGGCTGGCAGTATTTGAGGCTGGGTGGTAGATATTGCATATTTTAAAGCTTTTTTTCCTTGTGTGTTGTCTTTGAAACATTGTGGCACACAAGTAGCATGTGATTTTGACTGCTAGGCTATCATCTTCCTTTGATATGAGAGTTCTTGAAGCTTTGTGAACCCAGCAGTCACACTTGCAGGTAGACCTATAGTATTCTGGAGAAAGTACTGCTGAGCACGAGTCTTCTCAAAACATGCATATTTATAAATGGTTATATGATAGAAGCAAATTATGTTGAACCTTTAACATTGTTGGGTTGTCTGTCTTTTTGAAAACGTGATGACAGAAATGTAAATTATTAGAAAGAAGCTGTGACATTAGGTGACCCGGCACAGCTTGGTTTGTTTGTTTCATAATTGTTTTGCCATTTTAAAAACAATTCATTAAATGAAAATCCATGTACAGTAGTTGATCATTTTCTTGCTGTTTTACAGGTTCATACCTTATTGTAATAACAAAAAAGAAAAAAATAGGTGAATTTTTCAATCATGTAGTCTGGAAAGCAACCGACTTTGATATCCTCTCTTACAAAAAGACAATGTTACATTTAACTGATATTCAGGTAGGAGCATATTTTAAAATTTAAAAAATGCTTTTGCATTATTTCAGAGTTCTGTTTCAGGACATCTGAAATGAAATGAAAGTAGATCTCTATATCAGGGCTCTTGAAGCTTGTTCAAAAGCAGTCTTGTTGAAATGTTGTATAAAGTTCTTTTTAATGAATTCTACAATTGGATGATAGGCTAGGATCCAAATGGCTGCTCTTCTGGGTGGAGCCCCTTCTCACTGTAATTTATCACATCCTCAAAGAGCTGTTGCTGAAGATCAATGGGATCCTGAAAAATAGAATTCAGTACAGCACAAGATGATGAAGTAAGGAAGAACATGGCACAGGTGTATATGTAGAAATGTGTTTTAGTCACTTATGTGACTTCTTTGGATCCTGTATGTAATTCAGTGTCATTACAGTTTAGGTGCTTTTCTTTAAGTTTGCTGATATGGCTTGAAGCCTTCTTAAGGTGTGTGGAAAATTAAGCTTGGTTTCTTTTTTCAAACAATTTCCTTGCAGTTAGCTGGAATCTAAAGCAGAAGTTTAATCTCTGACTTTTCTTAAAATAAGTGTTGGTTAGCATGCCGTCTGTAACTATATTTTCCTTATTTGAAACTACAAAAGAATTTAGTATATCTCAGATGACCCATAGTGAACATTTAAATGGTCTGTCTTGTGACTTTAAAGTATTTTGTTCCAGTCCTCACTAAGAAAAGAAAGTCTTGAAAATCTTTTCACATGAATATTATCAAAGACTTGTATCACTGTAGGAAATTGTTTTTTCTGAGAAAGATAACATTACAGGATACATGGTGACTAACAGTATTTTTCCTCTAATAGTTACAGGACAATAAAGTCTTTTTAGCAATGATTAGCCATGTACTGAGCGTGGATGGATTTTATTTTTCTACAACATATGACTTAACGCACACTCTACAACGCTTGGCTAATACCAGTCCGGAGTTTCAAGAAATGAGTTTGCTAGAGAGGGTAAGGATATTTGCGCCAAGCTTCTTGCCAGACTCCTAAAAAACAAGTATTTATTTATGTTAGAGGAATGAGTATATTTTAAGATTTGTATTTTAACTGTAAAAATTAAGCAGCAGTTAATAGAATGCTGATACAGTGTCCTGGTGGCCTAGATATGATATAAAAGAAATTAAAAGCCAGCTATGTGAACCAGAGATCTACTTGCTGACCCTTTTTCTGGGAGAGAGCTCTGCATGTATCTTAGAATACTCTTTTAAATGGAAGCTGAAGGGAACTGGTCACACTTCAGGAACATGTTGGTTTGAATTCAGATTTTAATCATAATTGGAGGCGACCCACTGAAATCAGGGTGACTTAAGATACAAGACTGAATTGGTGTTTACAATGTATCCTATGACTTATTCCAGGCAGATCAACGGTTTGTATGGAATGGACACCTTCTTAGAGAATTTGCTGCTCAACCTGAGGTAATATATCTCTCTGCAGTTTGTAATATCTTCAAAATACCACAGATGTTGGTGATAAATCTTTATAGCTGTGTGTTGCATGTTGCTCATTAGAACAGCTAAGACAGATGGTGATGCAACTAAATATCTGAGGATGCTTATAAAATCAATAGGTTTTGTTTAGACCAGGGGTCTCCAAACTACACCGGTGGGCCACATCCGGACCACCTTGCCTTTTTATCAGGCCCGGCCAGCTGGAGTGCAGGTGGGTGGGAGTGCAGACTGGCATATGCACATCTTCTTTTGGCCCTCAAAAATCTGAAACATATGTTGTGCTCTAAAAAGTTTGGAGACCCTTGGTTTAGACAGAAGCAATAGCTCTAGCAAGCATGTAGCTATTTTGCAAAGGCTAATGGGTTGGAAGACAATGTTATTACTGTATGTGCCATCAAGCTTTTTTTAAACATTTTATTATTTTTTATAACATACATACCTACAAAAAAAACACAAATACCTACAAAACAATAACACATAAAACTATCAAAACATACAAGACTAACAGAACATACAGGCGGGGAGGTATTTCCCATGCCAACTTATCTATTATGTTAATTCTGACTATAGAAATAACATCCGTGTGCATCTATACATGTTATATTCTACATCCATATTTTGTGTATCTAAGTATTTAACATCCTAAGTTTATAATAAATTTTGTAAATTCTCTCATCTGCATTTCCATCCATCTAAATCTCATCATAAACATTCCTCATTTCCTCTTTAAAATTACTTATCCACACAGGCCCATTCATTCCTCGATGATCTCCATTCTTATAAACAGAAAACTGTATGTCTTATCTTCTCAACATAATCACTCTTGTAGTTCACACATATTTGATATTTCCATATACAGTGGTGCCTCGCTTAGCGAGCGCTCTGTTTAGCGATGAAATCGCTTTGTGACGAACTTTTTGCGATCGCAAAAGCAATCACTTTGCGATGTTCCCTATGGGGGAATTTTGCTTTGCGATGATTGGTTCCCTGCTCCTGGAACTGATCATTGCAAAGCGACCATTTTCGCACAGCTGATCGGCAGTTTCACAATGGCCGCCGGGTAAACAAAATGGCTGCCCGCTATTTTCTGGGACGGATTCCTCGCTTAAAAGGCACCGAAAATGGCCGCGCTATGGAGGATCTTCGCTGAACTGTGAGTTTTAAGCCCCCAGGAACGCATTAATCAGATTTTAATGCGTTTCTATGGGCTTTTTAATATCACATAGCGACGTTTTCGTTCAACAGCGATTTTTGCGGAACGAATTAACGTCGCAATGCGAGGCACCACTGTACATGCCTCAGAAACAAAATATCCAATATTATTATTCATCATCATTTCTGAAGTTCATAAATTCCATGTCTGGCCAAATTTGCTTATAGTATATTAGTCATGTTGCTTTATATGTCAATTATATATTATCTTAAACCAATTGATTTCTATTATTTGTTCAGCAGGTAACTTCCTCCTTTCTGATTTTTATTTATCAACTCCAGTGTCATCAAACCAGGATTGGCCTCTCTGATCTTGTCAACATTGCCACTATTATAATCACACATATTTAATGTCTCAATATGCGTGCCTCACAAACAAAGTATCCACTATCATTATTCATCATCATTTCTGAAATTCATGGGTTACATGTGCTTGTCTAACGTTAAACTCCATCTCTGGCCGAATTTGCTTTTGGTATATTATACAGTATTACTTTGTATATTGAGCTCCAGTATTATCAAACCAAAATTGGCCTCTTGCCCCCTTTATTCATTCATTTTTTCCCAGCTTTAAAATGCCATCTATAATATTTCTTTAAGACATTTTCTATACGGTTGACTAATTTCATCCCCACATAGTCAGTGGTTTGGTTTTGGAGCAACATACAGTAGTGTTTGATCTCTGATCGTAAATTTCTGCCCTCAGCTTTGCCCATTTCTCCCCCTTTACATTCTTTCTTTTTGAAACAGTCTTGAGGTATTTCCTCCCTTCCCCGCCCTCCCTTTCGTCTTTGTTAGGCATCTTTTGAAGAAAAGGAGTCTTGTTCTTCTCTCTCTCTGACATTACAGGCTGTTCATTAAATATCTGGTTAAGTTGTTTGTCCTTGCTTTCTGTCTTTTTGTGCAGAGCAGAAAAAGTCATCTTCAAGTCTGTTCTGATCTCCTCAAGTTGTGCCTCGAAATGATTGATTATGTTAAATTGACATTCTTGAAGAAGTCCCTTGATATAATCCATTGAGGGTTGCGATGCTGAGTCTCCCCCTCCTTCCATGGCTATAGCAGTCAGCAGGGTAATTACCCAGATTTCCCACATGATTTGCTAGCTAGTCCGCACTTAAAGTCTTACGAGGGGGGACCCCAAGGATGTTATTTGATTTATAATCCACCTTGTAGCCAGATACTGAGTCACATAGGTTAAATTATGCAGGGTTATTTAGAGTTCTTAAGCCCTGACTTTATAGATTTATGAAAAGCCAGTTTCTCTGGGGGGGAGGGTTACGAGAGAAAAAGAGCAGAATTGGTTTTGTTTCCGAGCTGTGACGTAGTAAGAAAACTCCGATGTTACAGGCATTAACAAAGTTATGCCGCTTCAGATCTTCCTTCTCATCAGCTTTCACAGAGCAGATTTGAACTTTTACTTGCTGTGGCTTAGCAGCAGATCATTAATCTCGGTTCTGCAGTCAGATAATAAATCTCCTACCTCCCCTCTCCGAGCAGCTAACTCACCCTCATGGTGACTTCACAAGACAGATTGCATATAGGAAGGGAACTCTTCAAAAAACAGACTGCCATCTGAGATTCGGCGGTTCCAAAGTCCCCCTTTCTCCTGAGGGGGTCCTCTGACTCGGAATAAACCCAGGGGAATCCAGAGCCCTGGAATTTCCCCTGTTCTCGCTGCTCGTTGCTCCGCCTCCTCTCCATCAAGCTGTTTTTTATGTATGTCAATTGACCCAATAAATTATTGATCTACAGGAATTATTTTGCAGTTCTGCTTAATTGTTGCAAACTAAAGGCCCTGTTTGCCTTAACTGAGTCAGTCGAGCTCATATTGGGCCTTCCTCTTGAATACCTCCTTTCACTTTTCCTAGCATAGTTGTCTTTTCAGGATATGTCCAAATACCATAGCCTCAATTTATTCTAGCTTTCAGTGGAGATTCAGGATTGATTTAAACTACAACCCGTCTATTTGTCTTTCTGATCGTCCATGGTAACCATAATATTTTCCTGCAACATAACATTTTAAATAAATGATTTTTGTTTCAGTTTTCATAATTGTCCAGCTTTTGCATTCATATATGGTCATCAGAAATGCCATAGGATTATCTTGGTCATGGTCTCCAGTGACACATCCTTATGCTCAAGTTGCTTTATAGCTGCCTTCTAAGTCTCAGCCTTTTGGCTACTATCTCTGTTTTGATTGATGATTGAACTGAAGTTTAGAAAATATTTAATAATTTCAGTTTCTTTTGTGATTCTTTTGTAGTCATTTTTTTCCTCTTCTGTAATCCCGTTCAGTTTATAATTATGCTTTTCCACTTTCTTTCCTTAACGTTAGTCAGCAGTGGTCTTAAGTGATTGCTATTTTCACTTCTTCATCTAAATTTTATCCAGCACTTTCTTCTTTAATATTCCTTGGTAATCATTTCAAGCCATTTCCACTTTCTGACAGTTATATTGTGTCATTTGTATATCTTAAATTATTGTTGCTTCTTCTAGCAGTATTCACTCCTCCATCTGAATCTAATTCAGCTTTTCTTATGTTATGATCTGTATACTTATTAAAGAGACAGAGAGATTAAATATCTGACACCTCTACCAGTAGGAAACAATGCAGTTTCTCCATATTCTGTCCTAACAGAGACTTTTGTCTAGAGCAGTGGTTCTTAACCTTGGGTTACTCAGGTGTTTTTGAACTGCAACTCCCAGAAACCCCAGCCAGCACAGCTGATGGTGAAGGCTTCTGGGAGTTGCAGTCCAAAAATACTTGAGTAACCCAAGGTTAAGAACCACTGGTCTAGAGTATAGTTTGTGCATTAGGATGCTCAAACATTGTGGTACATCCATTTCTTTTGGAAGGAGCCATAGGGTTTCAGTGAAATGGTTTAGTGTCATCTGTGGTAGACTGTAACAGTACAATGCAAGAACAGCAGACAGATTATAACAGTACAGTAGGCACTTGCATACTGTATGTTATTGCCATCGTGTTTGAAGTGGTGGTAATATTGACTGAGTGAGATGGACTCTTTGTGCATTTTCTTTATTTTGCCTCACCTTTTCCAGCAGCAACAGAAAATCTCTTTCTCTGAAGGGCTGATACTGCTGCTTCTACTACTACTTCAGTTATTGCAAATTAACCTCTCTTTAGCTTATACTCTTTGGTATGTGCTGTGGATTGTTCAGCAAGGCCTTAAATCCAGAGCAGAGATTGTGAGAATTCAACTGAAAGGAGACGACAAAGTTGGATAATGGAGGAGTAAGGGTGGGCGGCAGGAGAGGTGGTAGTGCCCAGCATAGAAGTCTGTGGTGATTTGGAGGGGTGCTGTAGGGGCATTTAAAGGAGCTGAGTAACTGAGGCTAATCCAGATGAAGAATATTGCATGGCACAAGAGAACAAATGCCATCCTTCAAATTGCAATAGTAGTTGGTAATAGTGCATATTAATACCTCTTAAGAGGTTTTAAAAAGACATTCAAGATACAGACCTATGAGGATTCATGAGTTCCATTGTATACCTTTAATAAAGTTGTGGTTCATTGGAATCCTTTTAATAAATTATTTGTCATTTGGAAATCACAGTTCAGAATTTAATTTTGTGCCAGGCATGTTAAGTGGAACAAATCCGCTAACTTGGCATCTTTGCCCAGCTTGTTAGGAAGAGGCGTTTAATTCTGCATGCAAGATACAGGGTTTCCTGACCAAAGCTGGGTACTAACAGTTCTTCAGTTGGTTGACCACCAAATTCCTCACAGCTATGGACAAGCAAATAAAGAAGTTTTTTGTTTTATTTTGTTCTTTCTCCAGCATTCCTGGATGAGATGACTCTTAAAGATTTTGTTGTGTTTTAGAAAAGATGCCACAGACATATTTTGAGATTTCACAGCGTCAGTTGATAGCCCAAATAATTCATTAACACTGTAGGAGTGGCAGAATAGCAGCTTTTAAACTGTTGGTGATGCAGACAAATTATTTCCTGTTGACAGTTTCATTGTATGCTGTAAATACTGAACTGCACTTTTTTTGGAAATAATGCATATTTCTACAGGCTGACATCTTATGGCGCAGACTAACAATCATCCCTCACTTTCTGAGCCAATGGCATTTAGACCAGTTTAGCATGTAGTTGATAGCATTCTCTGCCATCAGAGCAGAGGCATGTGAGCTGTGAGCCAGGAACATGTCCCCACATAAAGCGCTAATGTGCCATAGGGTCTGAGAGACTGGTCAGGGGTAAGCCTCCTGACTGGAAGTTCATCTTTTATCTTAGTGAAAGAAAAACACAAGCTGCAACAAATTACTTGGGCAAGGAATGTGTATTTCAAAAATTCTGCCTGTCACTAAGCCTGCAGAATTGATATTTGACACCTTGCTGGAAACTGGCTGCTTAAAATACTATAACTAGGTTTCTGACTTGAAACAAGCCTTTTTATATCAATGCTCCCCTTTACATAGATGAAATTATACCTCCGGCAATTGTTTACATTGCTTGTTTCTTTTCCCTGTGTTGTGGTATTGCTACTCTGGCTTTTGTGGACTAGATCTCATCTCAGGTTAGGCACCTTCAAGGCGGCCTTGGGAAAGCTGAGCTCTCTCTTTCTTTTCTCCCCATGTATAATACAAGGATAAGTAACAACAACCTAATAAGATTAATTCTAAGGAGTGCCAAAATAACAAATGCATGAAGGTTGGAGCTGTAATGTATTGCATATTGGCCAGAATCCTGTTGGTTAGTTATCACCAATATAAAGTACAATGACGTAAACTGCAGCAGAGAATCATTAACAAGTTGCTGCTTACATCTCTCCTTGTGTGCTAGCTGTCTGAACGTTGCACATGGGATGCAAACAGTGACTCATGAAAAGGTTGCAGTTTGCAGCTGCACTCTATGTTATTGCTGTTATGCCTGCATAACCAACCAGTTGAATTCTGGGTGTTGATACCACTTTTTATGGTAAAGCCAAGGCATTGATAAGCACATACAGTATGAGTAGAGAGTGTTTTCCTATAAACATGATTCTTCCTGCAAATATGTATTGGTTGGTTTTCCTAGAGCTCCATAAACCTTACCATTCCTATCTTCATTCAGCGGTGCTTAGGCAATTATTTTTTAGTACTAACGAAAGGCTCTTCAACTGTATTAAATTTCCTCTCTTACAGCTCCATAGATTTGCTATTCCAGTAATACATGGATGTATCCTTTTCATGATTTTGCCAGGGGAACCCAGTTTGGTTAATGTTTAGAACCTTAATATGTGTTTTTTATTACTGCCACAGTTCTACAAAGTGTCATGCATGAGATTTAGAATACATGAGCAACTCAAAGATATATATATATATATAATGTCTGAATGAAAATTTCAAGTTCAGGCCTTCTTGTAGGACTTCTCTGATCTTTCTGCTTTGGTCTTAAAACTACCTGCTCGACTCTCCACGTTTGGGCTGTACAGGAGTGGGGATAGGAGGCTGTCTAAAATCATTTCAAAGGAGGCTGTAAATTTGGCAGAAAAGCATCACCAAATGTCTGTGTCAGATTAAAAACTGCCTTGAAACAGGTAAGAAATGTTTGTTTTAATGGCTTTTACTGGCTCAGTTTTGGTGGTGGGATTTGTTGCCACCATTTAACATTATTTAATGAAGGTTGGAGGCAGCAGAAACTACATTGAGCAGGCCTTGTGCAGCCTGAGAACCTATTCAGAATTATTACCATAGCTCTAGACTCAGAAATATTGTCAAATCTGTTCCTATAGCCATGAGAGGAGCCTTGGTCTATGTATATGTATTCACAAAATGATGTAGTATGAAATGCTTCTGTCCAGTGCCCTAGGCCAGTGGTTCCCAACCATGGGTAACCCAGGTGCTCTTGGACTGCAATTCCCAGAAACCCCAGCCAGTACAGCTAGCAGTGGTTTCTGGGAGTTGTAGTCCAAGAACGCCTGGGTTACTCAAAGTTGGGAACCACTGCTCTAAGCAACTGACCATGCTTTTAGTGCTTGGTCTCTCCTCCTTGCCTCAGTTGTCTATTTTTTCTGACACCAATCAGTTGCTGTGCAGTGACCACTGAACAGGCTCAATATTCATAGGGTTGTTAGGGTTTTTTCTCTCACACTTTTAAGATACCGTCTAAAAACCTTTGTTGTTGTTGTTGTTGTTGTTGTTGTTGTTGTGAAAACCAAAGGGCTTCACCAAGCCTGCTGGATGCTCTCTTCAGAGCGTGGATGGTGATGTTTTTGCTCCTAAAGATTCAAAGATTAAGTTGTCTGCCATGCCCATCTTGTACCGATCCTTAAGTTGTGTTTGAATTCCTACCATGTTATTCTAAATAGTCTTCTAATAGAAATGAAAAGACATAACTCATCTGCTGTCAGGAAACAAATAGCGAAAGGAAGCTACTTAGAGCTTCTGTGCTTCAAATGAATCACATCAAGCTCCTATGTTGTATTTGTAATTGTTTGCATTAACAAAATTTGTGGGGGTTTTTTTTGTCAAGATGACTTACTAATGTAACACATTCAGTTCTTTAGGGTTTGTCTGCATTTTGAAGTATTTTACTATCCACATAATTGGTCTGATGCTTATATTATGGCAGTCCACAGCATCATTGCCCAACATGCTGGATGACACTCTTTGAAAGATTCAGTATATCTTTTTCAGTTGCTCTAAAAGCTGTCCTTGTTTTCAAGTGGAACTGTCAGCTAATTGTGGGCCTAGAAAACAACTTGTCAGCATAGCACAGATACTATATACAAAGAAACAAAATGGAACCTCTCTGGCTCACTTCATAATTACAAAACCCATATGCCTTTAAAAGATTTTAACTTAAAAACCCATCTCATCACACAGTATTTCCATCTCCCTCATAAATACCAAGAGATGTTAGAATTTAACAAAAGGGAGTTTCATTTTTAGATCTAAAAGTATTACTGATAAATTTGCCTAAGTTGAATATGTCAGTATTAGTTTATTTTAAGGGGAGGATTCAGCTTGATCTTAACTGCATTAAGAGCAAGATTAAATTTATGAATTCCAGAATGGTTGGATTTGGACTGCATTTCTGGTTTTAGTGCTGCTCAAAACACTGCAATATGAGCAGAACCTACTTCGCTTTTTTTGTCAGGTTCTGTGCAGCAATTCTTGCTTTAATACCTTGTCTCGTGTGTCCAAATCCTGATTTGGTATTATGTGGTTTTCCTTTATTGGCTGACTGGTGTTATCCAGCTCAGAGCAGTCCTTGTTGCCAAACCTAAGATTATCCAGTCATAAAAGTCTACATGGACAATTTCTTCATTTCTTGTTCTTTCTTTGAAAAAGGCCCCTTGTGTTTCCATGGAAATTGGTGGCATTCTGGCAGAGATGTCAGCTATCTGATCTTTGAATGATATGGTTTTTGAGAGCTGCCACCCATTTTGAATCTAAAGCTGCAGTTCTCTATGCACTTGCTTTACCCACTGAGTTCAGTGGAACAACTTTGGAAACATGATTGATGAAGGGAAGTGTTTTGTAAGTTGTATGTAGTATGTATACAAGGATGGGATACAACAAGTTCCTAATCAAAGTTCCTGTTCTTAATAACCTTCTTTAGAATGTATTAGTTGCCACATATTTTCTTGCTTTGAATTACAGACAGTTGGATCCTTGTCTTACTTGGTAAGATCAGAAGTGGGCAACTGTGATGTTTTTCACCTACTTTTCAGGGGAACTTGTAATAATTTCAGGCATCTTTCTGGCAATAAATCAGGCATTAAAACTGACTTTTAAAAAAGTAGAATAGGGCCTATAACTTAGTTAACTAATTTAGATAACTAACTTGGATGGTTAATAAGAATAATTGTGTGCCATCACATCAGTTCTGACTTATGGTAACTTTCAGGGTTTTCTAGGTAAAGAACACTCAGAAGTGGTTTACTATTCCCTTCTCCTGGAGGGACTCTGGGACTGTGCAGATTGCCCAAGGCCACACAGACTTCCTGTACTCACAGGAGACGCAGTGGGGAATCAAAGTCTCAACCTCTGGCTCCACCTAAACCGTTGAGCTATCCAGCTAGTTGACTGAGATGATTAGCCTGTTATCTTATCAAAATTTCTTTGCTCCATATTTAAGAATAATGATTTGAAACTTGTAGAAGTACTTTTAAACCAAAGGAATGCTTTTGTTCTTTATAATTTAATTTAGAGTGGGCAGATGTCCTTACTAATGTCTTTGGGCTACTATTGCCTTTAGCCCTAGCAAGCATAGCCAGCACTGAGGAATTCTGGAAGCTATAATCCCCAATGGCCTTAAAAATCACGTTGTCTTCTCCTACTTCTGCTCAGAGTGCTTCTTTCTAATCATGCATGCAGTGACTGATTAATTGTTGGCTTTTCATACTACATTTAATCAGTTTGAAACAGAGACAAATGTGGTCCCTGTCCTGCTGACACAGCGTGTTGGCCATTATAATGTATTATTATATTAAACCTGTGCATTTATTCCTTAACGTGTTGCCTCGTATCAGTTATCATTATGCACTCTTGTTCCATTAATGGAAAATATTTTGACTGGATTCTTATTTCGCGAAGAAGCTGCTTCAGAGCTGGTGTGCGCTACTATGTGAGGGGTAAGAAATGTGTAGCCACTGCATGGATGGGCTTTATTTATTTACATCTTGATATCATATTAAGTTGTTATCATATCCTGATAAAGGTTTGGCTTAAAAGAATTCTCTGGTGCTTGCAATTGATTTGGAATCCTGTTGCGTCAGACTAAATGACAAACATTATACGTTGCTAATGAAATTACAGTATTTTCAACTTTAAGTGATTTATTGTAGGTTTAGATTAGATCTTATTATCCCCTGGGAAAGTATGACTTATATTTCGGTATAGAAAACCACATATTCAAATTTCTTCTCAGTCATCAGAACTGCAGAATGACCTTGCACAAAGGGCTGTTTTGAGCCTCAGAAGCCATTCTGAGCACTTTGAAGGAAGGCAACCAGTGACTGGCCTTCCTATAAAAAGGTACTATTTGGTGAAGGAAAGGCAGGACCACTGCTTACAGCCTTTTCGTTAGCCACCGAATAATCCAAATCTGCCCAGTGACCTTCCTTCTCCACGCAGCAAAAATCCTCTACACATTTTTTAAAAAATATCCCAATTTTCAAAAGTTGCAGAGGATATTAAAATCCACTCTGAGTAGAGGAATTTAACCATAATACAGAGGGCAAAGCACCTTAGCATTTCGAAGCACACAAATTAACGAAGAAAGATCCGTTGCTACTATTTTAATCTAAAGCACTTCAAAAAGTGGCTACATCCTGTGGTGGAAATAGACTGGTGATGCATTAGTCCAAGAAGGGCAAATGCAATATAATTGTCTCTGTACGACACGATTAACATTTTAAGCCATTTTGTGACCTATTTGGGCATTTTTTATTTCCTTATACTTCACAAAAAGTGGCACATCAGCTAGGATTTAATATAATAGGTAAGTGTTGTGTTATAGGTGATTAGCTGTAAGTTTGAATTTTTTGTTTTAACAGGTATTGATTCTGAAGGACATGCAGCTAATTTTGTAGAAACAGAGCAAATTGTACATTACAATGGGAGCAAAGCTTCTTTTGTTCAGGTACTTTTTTCTGTTCTGTTGGGTTGGATGACAAGCCTTTGTTACTGCAATTAGTTTCTGCCCCTTCCTCCTTGATAGTGAAATACTATAAGATGAAATATAGAAACTAATTGGGAAGTTGCACTGATAACAGAATGTTGTTTTGTGCGGCTTTTGTTTTTCAGACACGTGGATCGATTCCCTTTTTCTGGTCACAGAGACCGAACCTCAAGTATAAACCAAAGCCACAGATCAGCAAAACAATAAATCATGTATGTTTTTCAAACACATCTTTTTGCTGTCCTTCTGCATGAAAGGTTTGCTATAAAGTCCATATAATAAAAAGCAAAAAATCTTAAAACAATTGCACTTTGCTGTGGAGTATGGCTCTTTTCAAGGTGGCCCCGCAGTAAAGACACTACTTTTTTAAAAGTTCATTCATAACTAACAATATGAGAGAGACTTCTGCCCTGATCTTGAAATTAAAGACTGAAAGGACATCAAACATTTGAAATGTACTCCCTTATTTTCAGTCAACATTTGTAGTTATGAAAATGTTGTAGTCTGTTTTAACTGCACAATTAGAAATGTATATTGAGTGTGTTGTAATATGTCTTTATTATGCTCAGTACAGTGGTGCCTTGACTTACGAACTTAATCCGTATTGGAATGGTGTCCTTAAGTCAAAACATTCTTAAGTCAAAGCAGCATTTCCCATAGGAATGCACTGAAACCCGATTAATCTGTTCCTTATATCAATTTAATTTGTTCTTATATCAAGGCATGGTTTGTAAGTCAAAGCATTTGTTCCCATAGGAACTAATGCAAAACTGGTTAATCTGTCCTCTACCACTAGGGGGAGAATTTCCTTTTTTTAACCTAAGATGGCTTAGGTTTAAAAAAAAGGGCAGGAGAGGAGGGAGACAGAGAGAGAGAAGACAATGAGGGAGGGAGAGAGTTTGGAGTCTAAAACACATGCTAAACCAACACATTTTAAACTCATACATTTTACACCAACACATTTTAAACCAAGCCAACACAGACCCTTGCAAAAACTTTTCTGATTTGCAAGGGAAGCATGAAGGAACCATTGCAAAAGCACAGAAAACAAAAGGAGCAGATTAGAAATGCAAAGAGAACAAAGCAAAAAAGCAAGGGAAGCATACACGAACCATTGCAAAAACAAACAGCAGATTAGAAATGCAAAGAGAACAAAGCAAAAAGCATGCAAGACACATTGAAAATGGGAGAAATCCCCCCCAAAAAGCAACCAACCCCCCCAAGACCCATTGGAAATAGGAGGGAACTAGAAAAAACAAATTCCCCATTAGAAATGGGAAAAAACACTCCAAAAAAGGAACCAACCCCCCCAATCGGAAATGGGGGGGGGGAACCAAAAAGCAAACACCCCCAAGACCCATCACAGCACAGAAACATAACCCCCTAAGCCGAAAATCACGCTGCCAAAATACCCAGGACAGTTTTTTAAAAGTATAAAGCAGCATCTTACCTTAGCAGGCAGCTTCCTTGGATTGCACACTCTCTAACTGCCCGGGTGAAAGAACTACAAAGAAGCAGCCTCGTCGCCAGTTAGCTATTTGAATTTCGCTCCCTTTTCCCCAGCCTTTTTTCTGTTCGTAAGTCAAAGCTCTGTTCGCAAGTCAAAGCAAGATTTTGTGAACACAGCTGTTCGCAATTCAAAATGTTCGTAGGTCAAGGCGCCACTGTACTGGGGGGAAAATCTGCATCCCACCATCTAAAGATTCTTTATAATGTGCCGCTTGGTCAAATACCTCTAGTAAAGGTATATTTCTTTTTCTCTTTCAGATGGATGGCTTCCAAAGACATTTTGACTCTCAAATTATTAGCTATGGAAAACAAATGGTTGTTAATCTGGTATGGTCTTTATTTCTGCATCTAAATTCACGGAAATGTGACTCCATCTTGTTGTTGCTTTATGTGTCTTTTTTGGATTTTTCTTCATAGGTTAACCAGAAGGGCTCTGAAAAGCCTCTTGAACAGACTTTCTCAAAAATGGTAAACAGCTTGGGAAATGGAATGGTCAGGTACATGCCATCAGAAATATATTTTCATCACTGTGGAAATAAAATATTTGCATATAAACCTGAATAGACAAGTGCTGTGTTGGCAGGATGTTAACACATTTCTAGAGTTGTACAGACTTTATTTTTGGACTGATTGCCTTGCTGATATGCATAAATATGAGAGCTCAGACTAAAATATGCCCAGAAAGGAGAAATTTCCCTTCCCTCTACAGCAGACACATGCCATGTGTCACTTCATTGAAATGAATTTGTGCTGGTCCTAAGCATGTTCAGGTGAAGTAAACCATCAAAGCTCCAAGCTGTGGAAACACAAAGTTGAGTGATAGTCATAGTCAACCATGATGAAAGACGTGAAGAGGCTCAGTCTCATGCTGTATCCTACAGTTCAGGGGAACCCTTAAAGTAGCCTTCTGTAACATGAAACACAACCCCTCCCCCTTGAGATGCTGAGTTACAACGCCTATTCCTTGACTCCAGGTTCACCGGCAGGCATATTGACAGGGGACTATGTGACTTGTAGTCAAACTCATCTGGAGGGTGCTAGTTTGGGGAAAGCCAACTTAAACCAAACATCAAATATTTGGCTGCATTTTTATAAGGTTTGTGACAACTATGTGGTATATTGAACTGTTGGATGGTATTTTGGCATAGTAGGTGTGGTGATAAATTTTGAAGACAAATGGTATAGCGCAGGGGTCTCAAACTCAATTTACCTAGGGGCTGCTAGAGGCAGAGTCTGGCTGTGGCTGGGACGCATCAGATTTTTCGCCAAGCAGAGCAAGAGCATGAGGAAGCCGCCCAGGAGTTTTCTTAGCCCGGCTGGGGCTCCAAGGAGGAGGAGGGGTGCGTGAGCCCTCTTCCTTGGAAGAGGCGGCGGCGGCGGCAGCTGCTGTTGGCAGCTTGGAAGCGCTCTTCAAGGACAGGCCGGGAGTGAGCTCCGCTCTCAGACATCGCTCGGCAGCAGCTCGGGCGCTTGGGGAAAAGGACCAGCAGCGCACCTCACTCGCCAGCTCTCTCCCAAGACAGCGCCTCTTGCACCCTCCATCTGGAACTGCAGCCTGCCAGCCGGCAGACAGGCGAGCTGGCTGGCAGGCTGCAGTTCCGGATGGAGGGTGCAAGAGGCGTTGTCTTGGAGGAGAGCCAGCGAGCGAGGCAAGGCTTTTTTTGACTCTTGACAGCAGAGGACACGTGGGCACTTCGGGGAGGCAGGCGAGGTGGGGGCCACAAACTATCATCTGGCTGGCCGCAAATGGCCCCTGGGTTGCATGTTTGAGACCCCTGGTATAGCGGTTAGAGTGTTTGGCTAGGACTGAAGATATCTGGGTTCAAATCCCGACCCAGCTGTGAAACTCAATCATCTCCGTCCTTAATTATTTATAAGGGGATCCTAAGACTTATACACTTGTTGCTGCAAAGACTGAATTATAATTCTCCGTGCACCTTTAAGGAATTTCTTTATCAAGATAAACATTTATGCTGCATAATAAAAACTGTATAGGATTGTTTTTTTTCCTGCTACAGATAAGTAGCATGTCCTCCTGTTATTTCCATCATCCCTGTGTTCACGTACTAACGAAAAGTCTCCTAACTCATATTTGGTTTCTCTGCCTAGGTATATAGCATTTGATTTCCATAAAGAATGCAGTCGAATGAGGTGGGATCGGCTCCAGATTTTATTGGACCAACTAGCTGAGCAACAAGATGAATTTGGGTAATATATTGCAACTGCAGTGCACAGACATTCTATTGTGGTTAGTAGAAGTGACATAATAATTAGATTATGTACACTGAATAGGAAGTTCAAACTTAAATTCCTGTTTCAGCAAGATTAAACAAATACTGCTTTTTGAATAAGAATTAAGGATATAGTTTCAAGACAGCACCTTCTTAGTGGCTATTCCTGGACTCTGGAGTTCCAGAGTTAATTTGCAACCAAAGACATTTCTGTGTAGGCAATCCCTTGGCCATAAACAGGTCTGCTGTTGACATGCATTTAACTGATTGGCTGTTGGCCATGTCTTTTAATGCTATGTTTTCGAATTCTTTGTGATTGCTTTTTATGTTACTTTTTAAATAAATATTTTATTTTAAAGTTTGAGTTTCTTTTTAGGAAGAAAGGCAAGATATATTAAATAAATAAACATGATTTGGTTATGAGAAGGACTTTCCCCCCGATGTAGTTGGTACAGAATAGGATGAAATACTAGCCAAAGTTTTCCAATAAATATTATTGTGAGGATGAAGATAAACCCAAGCAATCTATTTACACTGAGTGTGTTATAATATGAATGTACGTGGGTGGATACACAAAGCAACCATTTTATACAGCATAATTGTGTTAAGAATCAGTTCTCACAGCAAGAGTCCTTTAAGGCAGGAGAATGAAAACTAGTGAATCAAAAGAATTGTGGTCGTTACTCTACAGGCCTTTATGTCCTATTGTGAACAATTTTTGAATCTTTCTATGATTCTGAAAATGCCTTGCTGTGTCACGTAGTGAGTCCCAAATCTCATTAGCCGCACAAATGTTTTATAGAAGTAATTACAGGCACCTGGTAGCAAAGACATCAAAACTGGCCTTTTAAGAGACAAGATGTAGAACAGAAATTGCAGCTTAGTTGCCTACTTATCAGATCTACTAGATCAGTGGTCCCCAACCTTGGGCCTCCAGATGTTCTTGGACTCCCAGAAATCCTGGCCAGCAGAGGTGGTGGTGAAGGTTTCTGGGAGTTGTAGTCCAAGAACATCTGGAGGCCCAAGGTTGGGGACCACTGTACTAGATGATTACTGCTAGAAACATATTTTAGTTTAATAACTATGCATCTTCCATATTTTAAAATGATGCTTAGAAGCTTGTGGAAACACTTTAAAGCCAAAAGAGTGGTTTTGATTTGAAAAAAAAACTTACTTCAGGGCATAGATGGACAGCTGTCAATCTCTGCATGTTTTTGGCCTACAAAATCCCATCAGGATTGGAAAGCGTAGCCAATAGTGAGGGACTGTGGGAATTGCAGTCTAAAATCTGCGTGTGGAGATATTTCCCTGACACTCTGTTGACATAGTTGTGTTAATCTTCTAGCAGAAAAAGAAAGCCTTGCCTTGTAAACTCTTAACTAAACTCCACTCTGTATTTCAGCTATTTTCTGGTTGATTCTGATGGGAAAGTGTTGATGCAACAAGAAGGGACATTTCGCAGTAATTGCATGGACTGCCTGGACCGAACTAATGTGATTCAGAGCCTCTTAGCCCGCCGCTCCCTCCAAGCACAGCTGCAGGTTGTGATTTGCTTCTAGTCTTTCTGTTTCCCTCTAAAGCGTGTGTGGCTGGTCTTTTAGGAACATAAAAATGTAATGATAATTTACTGCATATTACACGTATCATTCCTGAAACGAACATACTTCAAATATACAAGCATACTTTTTTCTGATACTTCACAGTATTCCAATCTATACGGAATAGAAATCTTAGCAGAATGGGGATGCAATTGTAAATAATGGCTTCATTTGTCATTGTAGCGATTAGGAGTTCTTCATGTTGGCCAGAGACTTGAAGAACAAGCAGAATTTGAGAAACTTTATAAAAACGGTATGCTTTTATTCTGATAAGTAAATCATGTTGTATGTGCTACTTCCTGACTCTTGTTTTAAGCATTTGTTCTCTCTTCATAGCTTGGGCTGATAATGCAAATGCTTGTGCCAAACAGTATGCTGGAACGGGTGCCTTAAAGACGGACTACACAAGGCAAGTTTGAGCCCATTTTCTTGAAGTAAAATGTATTTATCTTCTCTCCAGTAAAAAAAAAAAGTACCATATTTTTCGCTCCATAAGACACACCTCTCCATAAGAAGCACTTCATTTATAGGGGAGGAAAACAGGAAAAAATATTCTGGCAATTTCGGCCCGCTGGGCCCATGGGAGTGGAAGTGGGGGGAGGCTCGGAAGGGTGTGAGAGTGCCTTGGGAGAAGGCTTTCCTGGAAAGCACTCTTGGACCCTTCCACGGCTCCCCCCACCATCCCCCCACTGGGCCATGGGGAGTGCTGTTTTACAGTATTCGTTCCATAAGACGCAGACACTCCCATTTTGGGGGGGGGGAGTGCATCTTTTTTTTAATAAACATTTTATTAGTTTTTTAATCTATCTACATTGTTTGTGCTTGTCAAACATCGTGTTACATGCTTGCTTACAATTATTTGTTTTTTACATCTCAGTGTCCTCTCGGTTGTCCCCCCAAGTTCCAAACATCTTTCAAACATTCAAACCCTTCATGTACAAATTTTAGTATATAGTATGACAACTATCATAATGTTACTCTCATATTATATAATATTCTCAAGGTCCTCTGATAACATTCTTATTGAAAGTGGTTCCAGATCCCTGACCCAGCTTTATATCTAGTTTAGTTTACTTAAAATATAAGACTGCCATATTACATCTTTACCCTACTTAGGGCTCCCTTATTTCAACTTAACTCTCCTTTTTAATATACAGAGTATACCCTTTTACAGTTCCCGATGTTAAATATA